TAGTGGTGAGCTAGATAAGCTCACTGATTCAACCTTTTTTTTTTTTTGGGGTGGGGGGGGGGATGAGTAAGAGCTAGTGTCCAACCAGATCTGTAAGCTGAACATGAGTACTAATAATGTCCAAGAGATCACACAGCCAGAAGTCAAGGAAAGGTTGGGACCATCCTTTACTTGCAGCACCATAACGCATAGATCAGACTTGGGGCAATGATTTAAAGAAAAATCACCTTGGGTATTTTGTACTTTCCACATACACTGTTCTACCTCTGCTTTTTCATGCATCATCACTGTCTTATGAGGTATATTTTAAGTTACTCATATCATATGGCTATAAAATAATAAAATAAGATTAATTAGAATGCCTTACTCCACTATTAAATATCTTCACAATAAAACAATTTTGCAAGTATATTTAATTTCCATTTAATGAAGCTAGGAAATGGATAAGCCAAAGGAATTTAAAGCCATTCTCCTTTAGGAAACCAATTCAAACTCATCCAAGTTAATCATTATTGGAAAATTACTATAATCAAATAGTGTTATAGCTGGCTAATATTAAATTAGTTGCTCTCATATGAGTTCTTAACAGACAGTTAAAAGTACTGTATAGTTGACCAGTACAATGTTACTGGTAATGTAAACGGAAAAATCAAGGCAGAGAAGACAGGATTTCCAAATACAGAGAAGAGATCCTTTAATAAGGTTCCCCAACTTCTCTAATAAATTCACATATTAAAGTGTATTGGCACTGGTGGTGTCACCGAGAAGGTATGATTCTTTCACAGTAGTTTGACCTCTTACGGAAGAAGGACATACAATTGATCTCCAGATATGCAGGTAAGTTTGAATCTTAAATTCTCTGTTCCTGAATGACTGATGATGAATTAAAGGCTCCTTGATAGAAGTCCCCTGAAGTTCCTTTTATAGAAGCCCTCCTGCTGAGAAGGATCATTTACATAGAACTTATGATGCCAGTAACTAGTTTATTAAAAATCTCCACCACACTCCTGCTTCATCCTTTCTTGCATGATAGAGAAATCTATCTTGCAAATAGAGAAATACATACTTTATTCATATTTCTGTACCACCTGTTTGTATAATGTTTCCATGTATATCACTGACTATATATTCTGAGGTCTTGGTGAAAAAAAAATAAATATATATATATATAAGTCTCATTCCAAAAAAGGGTCTGAGTAGTTGGATTTAATTTTGACATTCTTGCTTTGAGCAGGAATTTCATCTTAAGTAAAAATTTAGTCAAGATAAAATATAATGGAAAACGTAACTAAAATATTAATTTCTAAGCTATATTTAAAATTTATACTTAAGCCTGACTTCTGTCACAAGTGGACCAACTATCATAGTTATACAGAGTCAGGATTGGCTCAGAAAGTATTTATTCCCTTTTGTACATCAAAAATCATGCTTTTGCAAATGATCTGAACTGCCACTTGATTGTGAACTGCCCCAGACATGAAGATGGTTTATATATAACTGCCTATACTCAAGGAACATAAACCAGCAGTAATATTTTTGGTGTTACATTTTATGTACACATGCACTCTTAGAGCTGCTTGCTACACATGTGTATATGTTAGCTTTTTCCATTAAGCTGAGTGACTCATTTTCTGTAGTACCACCTGAACCATACCTATTAAAAATCGTCACTTCCATGTTACATTATTCCAGCTAAAACTCCCATACAAGATGTAATCTCTACAAGCCACTTGAAATCATCTCTAACATAAGTAAAAGCCTGCACTTTTCCACAGGAATGAATTAATATAAGAATGTCTCAGATGGATGTCTAATCTGTTCACATGAGAACCTGTCAATGGAGTACTCACTCACTGTAAAATCAAACCATCTTCATAATCTGACATTAGAAGGAAGAGTAATTTATTCAATTTCAGATTATTTTAAGTTTACAGTATTTTTTCTTTCACATTTTTATATGTTTACATGGGAACTCCAACAACAAAATGCATTAAAAATATTTAAATTGTGTTAATTCTTCTTTTAAATATTCAAAGACAGATCTGGAAATACATGTGATCTTCATGAGTTCTTGGACCATATGCCCAATTAATTATTGAGAGTAATATAGAAAACATTCTATTTCCGAGAACTTTAAATTAGAAATTTAGCATTTTTTGAAATTAAAAGTTATATTAAAATTAAATTAAGTTGAAATTAATATATATATGTATATATAAATTAAAGCATACTGACTCCAGACAAAAGTACAATGGTGAGTTTTAAGAGGAACTCATATATCAATTGAATAAATTATTTTAAGTACACTCTAGTTGTGTTCAACATGAAACAGAGCTAATCAAATGACCAATCACATCTTTTATCACTAAAAGCTAATGTTTCCAAGAAAAAAAAAAAATCAAAAACAACAACAAAAAACATCTACAGCACAAAGTAGCCAACAATATTATTTTATGATGTCTTATGCAATAGATTTTTTAAATTTTACTTCCGAAAATCTTTTCCACTGACTTCCCCCTGTCCCCATTACTATTCTTTAAAGATAAAGCATTCATACTTGAAAAACTACCTCGCAGGAAGCAGAGACCTCTGTCTTATCTCCCTATACGAACCAGTAGAGATTACTATTTTAGAATGAAAGAGAGACAAGCCAGTGGCTTAAAAAATAAATAAATAAAAAAAATAATAATAATAAATAAAAAAGCCTTCTAGACTAGGAAATAAATACAAGCTAATTCCAAAAGCTTTGTCAACCACTTGATAAATCATCTTCAGAAACAATATTAGGGCATGCGATGGTAGTTTATCTTTGTAACATCTGTCATCCAGAGGAGTATCTATCTACCCTTTAAATGATGTAGATTTGAATAAAGACACTTCAAGGGACACCTCATTTTGAGTAAAATCAGACAAAGTCAAATAAAACTAGGAATGTTACTGAATAGTTTAGGAAAATTTAAAGCATACTGACTCAGACTAACACAATGAAGAGTTTTAGGACAGGCAGAATATCAAGAAAATGATGACCTAAGTTAGATATGAAAGTAAAGAACCCTACCTTCCAGAAAAATGTCACGATAATTTGAAAAGAAGCTGAAAATGGTGATATCACTAATATGGCAGCAAAAAGACTACCTTTTTTGTTCTTGCTTTAGTCAGAAGTAGTGCTGTACTAATAATTTTACACCGAGTAAAATTGTGTGTTTCACCATTTCATCTCCATAAAGTATGAAAACCTGCATTAAACTCTGAATAGTTCTGTCACTCCTTTTTTGAGAGAGAGAGAGGGAGGCCTGACAAGATAATGGTCTAAAATGGTCTAAATCTGTGTAATAACTTTGTTGTTATTGTTTTATATTAAACAAAGATTAGAACAACAAAATAAGTAACTTAGGAGAAAACCTATGAATAGTCAAGACTTATCTTTATTACTGAGTCCCAACTTGTGAGAATTAACAACAAAAATTACACAAAATCCTGTCCTAGTAAGAAGCTGGAAATTAATAACATGCTGAAAGAAAGAGCTGTTAATCTTCACAACACTAGGGTGAATCTGTGGTCATTAGTTTAGGTAGTACAAAAAGCATAGAGTAATCATATTTCCTTGCTCTAAGGATCTTACTGAAATGTCAGCTTCTATTTCAGTAGGACTGATCCTATCAGAACAGTGCACACCAATCCATGGCAGAGGTTACTTGGGAAATTGGGGTACAGGCAGTACTTAAAGTCATGTTACCTGTGCCATACAAAGAGGGACCAGTGCACAGTCTGCACTGTCTGTGCAGCTATATCTGTTCTTAACATACATCAGGATGCTATTTCTAACCTTTAAAATCAACAGTATATCACTTTCCTCAAGGGATGCCTGTATTAACTTACCAATGATACATAAGGTTTCTTGTGTTCTGACTCACATCTGCCTCTAAGTCTTTTATCAGTCACTCCTCCATACTGTGCACTTTGATAAATCATCAAAAATCCCCGATTTGTGTTCCAAACGAAGTACCATGCTGTTCAAAAATTATGCTCAAAGATGATCCTACCAACTTGAACATATGCCATTTCAATTCTGTCAACATTTATTTTCATAGTTTAAGTCATGAATATTTTTAACCATGAAAAAAGCAAGTAGGATAAAAGCAAATGAATGTGATATCAATGCCACTGAGAATACACACACACACACATACATATATTATTTACAGCATGGAAAATAAAAAACAGAGAAGAGTTGAAGGGTCAGTCTTACAATTCACAGTAAGGCAAAATGATTAGCAGATTTAAATCAAAATATGGGCTGGATCCAAAAATCAGGTGAAAATTTTGCAAACTGTTTTCAGAAATTCAGATGGATTGAACTGAAGTCCTACCAGAAAATGCTACTCAGCTACAAATACGCCCAGAAACAGTACATGAAAGTAGACCCTTTCAAGACTTCTGTCACACTTATAAAAAACACAGGGGCACAGTGCTAAACTGGGTAGTACTGTCAAACCTCAATACACAACATCCAAACTGCAGTCTAACATTGGCTGAAATTTGGAAATATATATTAAAAAACAAAAAACAAAAAACAACAACAACAAAAAAAAACAGTTAATTCTTCAAACAGACTCTGAATGTTAACATTCAATAATTATTTGAATTATTTTCTAGATTAAAATATGACAAAACTGTTTTGTTTTGTTTTCTAACTACTGGAATACAAATTAAACGTAATTAAACATCATTACACTTTTTTCTATCATATAATGGATTTATGGTACTCAACATAGCAATCCCCATTCAATGTCTTTATTCTTATTTCATTAAATTACAATTTCAAATAAAAACTATTTATTGTTTAGAAGAATGCCATGAAGATTCAAGCTAGAATAGCTGCTTTTTGTTAAAGAAAACAAAAAGGAGTTCTTGCCCCATCTCAGACCACACGCCCCCAGTAAATAAATTTTAAAAATTATATTCTTATACTTATGGCAAGTTGCTAAAGCATAAATTGACCCTCTTGAGAGACTGACGGAACTGTTTTAGTCACTGTCACTGTTTGAAAACCTGAATGAAAAGCACGGAGGCTAAAAATGTCTTGGTTTACATTTACTAATATGAGAAGTAATTACTAGTATTTACTAGTAAGAAAAGAGAAAGAGTGATAATGAATACAAGGAATGTAGCTGTGCCAAAATACTTCAGTGTCTGTTTAAAAACAATGAAGGGAAAAAAAATAAATCTGAAAATTCCCTTTGCAAACAAAGCTGTTCAAATTTCTTTTCATCCAGCTAATTGGTTGGAACTTACAGTGAACCCTCTTTCAGAAACAAATTCAAGTTTAACTAAATTTTGGAGGATTTTAAATAAAGCAAAATTCCTTTATACCCTCTAAATTTACTGTAAACTCTTCTTTCCTAGAATGATCTTACAGTGTTTCACCAAACCCTTCTCAAGATTTGCCAACTAAAGGGGCTCAAGTTCACCCCTTCCTCCTCCCTTTTCATTCTTCCTAAAGCCTCTTTATGCTATAAAGTTCTCTAAAGATAGCAGGGTCTCTGAATCTCAGAACACAATGGACCAAAGAAGCTAGACTAGTTTACTTCAGATTTGTAATTTGGTCCTCTGCAGCTTGTCACATAGCAGTTTGCAAGTAGATAAAATAGATATGTTCCAGTTAAGTGTCATACTGGAGTACTCAAAGTGCCCGAACTCATCAAAACAAAAAGCTCATAGCTTAAAAAAGTAGCTTAGTAGAAACAAACATCAACACAGAGGACAGGCTCCTAGTATTATTATCACTACTAGTTAGTACTAGCAACTTTACGGTTATTGCTACTATTCTCATGAATCGTCATATCTACCTTGTGCAAAGCACCAAGACCAGGAAAGGTCTGTCCAAATGGATATTAGCAGAGACCGGAACAATTGGGTAAAGAAATTTTCTACTTATGAGTATATTCTGCAAAGCAAACTTTTCATAATAGTTCTGCATGCAGTCTTTTTGCCTACTGCATTGTTAATCGGTACTTTCAGATAGGTAGACGGTAGACTTAAATTCTCTCCATTAGTGTTTTTTTTTTTCAAAAAAAAATAATACTGGTGGTCAAGCACAATCCTCTTATTTCTGAATGAGCTTTAATTAAATTAACTCCTATTTGTATTTTTGAAAGCTATGCTAAATATATTACTTATGACACATTTGGATCAAAGCCAATGAAGAACTCTTTATTCAAACTCCCACCATTTAAATGATTCCATAAAATGAGCACACTTTAAATTACTTTCCATTCAGTTTTGTGAGCACTAAGTAACACAGTGCATAAAGTTTGTAGAAATACCATTCTATAAGAGAAAAGTTTGAGTTTTGAGATTAATTTACCCCAGACTACAGAATATACATGAGTTAATGGTTCTGAGATCTAATAATGTTCTTGGGGTAATGGTCAAAACTATGTATATGTACACCAACAGGCAACAGTTATTTTCTGACAACATAGACGTCAGGTAGTTCATGAAGATGCATAATCCAGCTCCCTACAAAAGACAGAAAGTGTTTGAGTGTACTGTAAATGTAAAATACCAAATATATTTAGCATCTTACATGCAATAGAGAAACAGATTGAGGAGATTAGCTAGAGCCAATTGAAAAACAGTTTGAATCTCTGAGCTTCTGCAACTCAATACTAGGTTTCATTATTTTGAAAATGTTTTGATGTTCATTGAACTAGAACAGAAACACAATCTCAATCATAGTCAAATCCAGTCTAGAGATTAGCTGAGAAATTTACTGGTTCAATTCCCTAGCAATAAAATTTAGCAATGACACATTTTTAAGTTACTTAAAAGCTGAGAGATTAGAGTTTTCAATCTCTATTGTTTGGTAATATATCTTACCAGACCCATTTATTCCTAATGTAATTTAAGTGGCATCCTATGGATTTAAGCAGACATAAGAGCTGGAGCTGTCTTTTTAGAAGAATGCCATTCTTCATGGTACATAATCAAAAATCAAATGAGATCAGAAGAAACCAGATCTGAGCATTTCTCTAGCCCTATTTATACTTTGAAAATCTTCAGTACCTGACAAAGCACTTGGGATCATTTCACAAACAATTATTTACCCATCATAGCTCACACCATTTTAAAAATAAAGCTTAATGTACATTTTCATGTTGCTTATCTTCATTAGTAATTTGTATCAGTAAGGATTACTTTTCACTGTACAGAATACAGAAGCAGAGTTACTATAAGTGATTGTTAATTATAAGTACCACAAAGTAAAAAATAGCCTGTGAAAGAAGGCCTACTTGGCAGCAACTGTGAAAATTGAATCAAGGTATTTGAGGACTAATTTGCTGCCTAATGTCGTCTTATAAGAGCAGCTTTGGAAATAATGCTGAAAGAAACTACTGCTGTCCAGCCACAACTCACTTCAAAAAAAAAATATATATATATATAAAAAAATAATGATAAGTCATCAAAAAGGCAAACCATAATCATAAGGAATGACAAGAAATAATCATTCAGAACTACAATGAAGTACCTTTAATGATGTCTGAAAAGCTCCTTTCATGAGCTTTTTAATTTAAAAAGTCATGCATGCATTTTGACTCAAGAAGCAGAGATACATACAAACACACGCAAAGTGAAACATTTCTTTAGGTAGATTTACACATATCTTTTAAGATTATAACTCGAATTACAAAGCTCAGTTTCACTGTTCCTTCTACTAGCCATATTACAAAGATGAGCAAACTGGGAGGTAAAGCTGCTTTAGAAGTGATGCTTATCTGACTTTAACACATCTTTCTGCATGTTTCAATCAAAGAACAGCTGCTGTCATACTACTGAGAAAATACTGATAGCAGGATGCTTAGCCAGCTCTAAAAACTGCTAACACAGGAGCCTTGTTGTGGAAATAACTCACCTGCAGTTAAACTTCACATACAGGAAAGCTTGCAACTGAAGTGAAAGGATGGATTTAGCAGTAACATTATTTCAATGTCTTCTTCTCCTTTACTAGAAGTAACAGCTGTGAGGCAAAACAAGGCCTTGTTCCACAGGTGATTCATTTTGACCTCTTCCAGAGAACCAATAGAGACAGTCTTTCAACATCCGGGCTGTTGTAATGATCACAAATTACTAAATACAACATTGTTCAACCAGAAACCTCCTTTAAGAAAAAGTGGGTGGGGTGTCAACTTAATGTTGATAACAATATTAACAAGTGATTTATTTGTTTTTTAATTAACTACTTTTGCTACCTTTAAACTGTTATTTGGCACATGGTTGTTTGTAGTTAGTTTGTATTTGCACTACATTTTTTAAAAATAAAAATGAAGTAAAACTTACTGTTCAGTGCATTATTTGGACAAGCATGTTCCTTTAGGAAGAAGATTTCAGATACTGCTCTAAAAATGCCATTTCAATAAAAATAATGCTCTAAATTGAATGCAGTAGTGAAAAGGAACCAGCTCAACTGGAGGACAGCACGTTTATATATCACCTCCATGAGAGGAACTCCCTGGACTTCCTACCTTAAGCAAGGACTTTCTGTAGCTTTATATTTAGTACTGATGAGAAGTGAGTACAAGTTTGGTAAACATGAAACTTCAACTACTTCTATTCAGTTTTCATATCAATGAGATTTGTGTACTCTTTAAAACATTATAATAAGTTTTAATACATTCAATACAAAAGTCTTCAAACATAAATATTACAACTAAGAAATGAACTAGTTCTAGGAGGATGAGTATCATTCTGCTCTAAAAGGAAGGTAGAGAAAATGAAAAGTAAAAATTCTTCTAGGATTTCACATCAATGCTATTGCTTGCAGGAAATAGCTGCTAATATGCAAAATCTCTAAAGATTTAAACAACAAACCACAAGGACCAACGTACTCACCTTCAACCTAAAATAACTTTTACTGTATATTGACCTTACTCACACAGTTGTTTCTTTGCCTTGATAAATAAAACAAAATATTAAGCATACTGCATGCATAACTTTTGTTAACATAAGAAATTCCCATGAAGAAATGTGTGTAAGGAATACCTCAGACCTGGATGTACTCACTTTGCCAGTTGCTAACCACTTTGGTAAGTAAAACTTCCTGCCAATATGAACAACTAGACCCTTTGGGAAGGAAAACTGGCATGCTCCACCTCATCAAGCTGGCCCTCATACCACACAGCTAGTTAAAGAGACATTAACTAACACATACTCCAGCACATGTGTTCTACTCATACTGTAGATGGCAAGCAAACCAAGGCACTATTCCTGAGTATGTTCTTTATAACATATTCCTTTTTTCACAGACTCATAGAGATTTTTGAATGCTACTGCTCTATCTAATCGCTCAAAATAATAAACACTAGTTGACTACACCTACAACAAATACAGAAACCATATAGCTAAATGTGCAAATTACTTGGGTTGGGTAAATGCCAAATGGATTTACATTCATGTGGGTTCAGTTCAGGTATGAGTGATTGGAATGACTGACTCTGAAAGCTTCCTGTCACTCTCTGAGTAAACAGGGATGAATAAAAAAACTTTGGCACAACTACTCAATCCCCTGACCCTGGCAAGAAAGTCAAACCAATTCACCAAAGGAATTTAGATTCAAACTTCCTCGAACATGCCAGAATGATGAAATACTACATTAAAAAAAAAATCTCATTTGTTAAACAATGATCTATGTCGTTTATTCTTTCAACCTCAAACACTGATACATTTATGTTTCAGTGCATGTCAAATTTTCAAGCATTCAGAAGCTAAAAATATTAGGAAATCCTTAATCCAAATGGTATGACATATTTGCATTTTTAGGCTTGCAGTGTTCTTGAAAACATAAAAATAAACCAACAAAATGTATAGTAAGCCAATTCATGAGTTTTCTTTGAAGTTGTTGTAAATATGAATGGCAAATTAACAGTTTATTATAGAAAAGGGAAATTATACTAGGAGCCATTTCATATTCTTTATAATGTTTTAAATAAGCAGACTGATTAGTTGACTAATTTCTCATGATGACACTGTAAGCATCCCGATTTTTATTTTTGTAATTTTTTTTTTTTAGCTCAATCTCTGTACAGTAATTTATTGAGTGCTAGATAACCTAGCCAGATTCCTACCTGGAAACTCAATAAACAGCACTGTCCTAACCACAAAACCAAAATAGCTGAGTTTATACTTTTAAGGCTTCTGTGCAACAGGCCTTCTTTTTACTAAGTGGCAAATGTTTGGGAAAACACTACAGACCTGGATCTGAAATTTGGTAGGACTGATTTCTGTCCTGACATAAAGGAAGCTTAAATCTGGTGAATCAATTCCTCTTACATTTTTTCAGCTTTGGGAGTTCTTTGATGGTGTACTGGAATTTTGGTCATATTCTTTACCACGATACATCTCTTACACCACAGTAATGCAAATATACAGTTTTAAGAAAAACAAAAGAAAAGGGAAATTTACTAGTTTTAAATGACAGAAATGCAGCCATCAAAAGGTTCATCATTTCATGGCATCTCTAAAGATGTGATTCATTGATTTGTTGTCAATGACATTTGGTAAAAAGAACAAAAAGGTAATAAATGTAAGTGCAGTGAGTCAGTAATTTAGAGAAAACAACATTTTAAAATACATGCGCAAACCTTTGCTGATGCTTGACTGACGTTTGATTCACTTTTGTAGTCTGCATGTACATACCGAGTTTTGTCTTCCAAAAAGAGTGCATAAAATGATTTGGCAATTTAAAATCTTGGTGTGTTATATCATACTGCATTCCAGATTTATGTCAATATTTTTTATGACATGCTGATTTTGTTTTAAAATGGAATTCTTTTTCCTAAATCTGCAAAACTGTTGATTATTGACTAAAGCACATAGATGTTCACATCATAAAGTTATTTAAACTATGTGCACGCCCTATAGATTAATAAATGCCAAATTCTCCCATTGTTTCCAAATTTTTGTCCTGTTTTGGGTATCATACAAGCTGTACTATACAATATGACATTGCCTCTGCCAGAAATTGCTGAAGTGAGAACAAGAGTTTAAGACTCATTTCAGCAGTTGCCTTGGAAATTGGCAATAGGGGGTCCAAAATTCTTACTCTGCTACACAACATGAGACTGTAATCATTCCTGATTTCATAGGAGTAAATTTATATTGTACACTCTATATTAAAAGATTCTCTTAAAAATTTCTGCATATTCTACAGCAAAGTAGACAAACAGGAATTACGATGCATCTGTTTGGAGTTAAAACAATAAAATGGATTTTTACAAATAATGTATTTTTACAAATACATTTGGAGCAGAATTAAGGTTCTTCCAATTACCAGTCCTTAACCATCTTTTAGTCTGGACAGACTAGTAAAGAAGGATACTGGCTGTTAAAATTCTGCTCTATTCTTTGCCAACTGGAAAACAGAAGACAGTATTATTAAGCTTGAAAACTTTTTTTTTTTTTTTAATCTAACAATTTATTACTTAATAAAAGTAAAAGTGTGCTACTTTTACTTGCCTGCAGAAATAAATCACAGAACATGACTCCGCTATTGGGGAAATTGAAACTAATTAATATTAGAAAGGTCACATTCTTGTGTTCTCTATAATGATCAGGAAAGCAAGTAAGGAGAAGCAACAAGATCACCTATTTTAGACATATTTACTCAAGCTAAAAACTAGATACCAGATAGGATTTTTAAAAACTAGATACCAGATGGGAATTTAACTTGGAAAAAAATTACTTGGACGTAGGGCAGGATATTATGATCTATCATCAAAGACACAGTAAAGGAATTGTGTTTGCAGGTGATTTTATCCAAAGATTAAGAAACAAACTACAGTCCATACTGCTGCTAAAACTTGGGAGGTTGCTTCTTCAGCTCCTTCCTGATCTCACCTGCCTGTAAACACATTCACATGGTCAATGAGTCTCAATCTCTCTCTCTCTCTCTCTCTCTCTCTCAATCTCATAAAAAATTACAAGTTTGAAGAACTCTTTTTGTCAACTTTCAGGCTCAAAAAGCCAATTCCAAATTTCACAACCAATCTCTTCCTTCTAACTGACATATCACCAACACAAAACTTTTTCCTTCCTTATTACTAACACTGGACATGACATTAAGTTTTACTGTCTTTAATGACTTAATTACATTAAATTTTAGGAGAGGTAACATCACTGGCTACCAGAATCTACTGCTCACTTTGTCACTCACCATATGTTGGCCCATGTTATTAAATTAGCCACCCACACATACAAGGGGACAAAACATACACTTAATATCATACTGTATTATATATGTAATATTATGTACTTGTACACATCCCAAATAAAAAAGCACCAATTGCAACAATATACTTGGAAATGAAACCAGCCTTTTGCATGATCCCACTTCCTGTAAGTGGTTTAAAACTAATTTTTTCCATTTTATTCCAGTATTTCAAAGCACCATCTGGGAAAAATATGCTTTTAATATCACCCAGTGATTTATTTATTGCTTGCAACAATATTTTGCAACAAAAATACGCATGCAACAACTTCATTCAAAACTATCGCAAAGACTTTCAGAAAAGTACTTACAAAAGACAATTTGTTTTCTAAGAAAGACAGCAAGCATTTTGAGACAACTTGCATTTTGAATGACATGCCTAAGTTTCAACAGCAGTTTCCAGGAAACATTTACATTTGAAAAATCCCTACTTTGACCTCTTTTTCCCCAGTTTGCTTGCTGGTAGATAGGATAGTACATGACAAATGAACCTAATTTAGACGGCAGAATGCCAGATTGCATGTTAAAAAAGAACGCCTCATTGTACATTAGGTGAGAGGTCAGTGACATAGAACACCAGCAGGTGTAATAACAACTGTAGGCTTTTTGTAAAGGAAATGCAAACAAGAATTTACCCTGAGGACATTGCGGATAGTGCCTGTCTGCTGAGGTACTAACTGACTGGCAGTAGGATCTCACATCAAGATACTTGATGGGCTTTGTTAACCTATATCATGACAGAACTTTGAGCAGTATGTTACGGAAGATGGAGTCTTTAGCTAATATCATCATAAATAAATACATAAATAATCAGTGAAGAAGAAAGTGGCTTTTCTACTATTAAAAAAGCCTCAAAATTCAGACAATAAATTGTACTGCACCTCAGCACCTGTTTCCTCCTTGCTAGAAAGCCTTTATTCATCTGTCATCATTAAAAAACACTAGTGTTGGAACTACCTGATCATTAATCATTGAAACATTTGCCAAGAGAATATTAGGTTCTTGCAAGTTCTGCACACTCTACCCACTCCTTGTAGGAAAAATAATGTAGAAAATGAGTAAGTAAAAATCATTTTAAAACAGTGTTATTTCATCTCACTAAGTTACATTAAATTGCCAAACATCTCACCTGCAGATTTGGAGGTTTTATATTCCAACTACTGGTTTCTGTTCTAAGGAAAAGTAACTTGTTGATAAATAAGATATTTCCTAAACTGAAGCTTGCTAAAATTGCATTCTAACACCAGTAACAAAGCACATGATTTATAGCAACCACAGTGCAGTATCATAAAAGACAACTCCAAGGACAATATCCACTACAGTTTTTAAAGATATCAAGTTTTTATTTTCTCGATGCCAAATGAACATTTGATTTCTGCAATGTTCACTGATATCTCTTTTGGTTATGTTTTTTTTTTATAAATATATATATTTCATGTTGCTTTAGAATCAATGTATTTTTGTATGTTTTGAAACTTCAACCGTGATATTAAAAACGATGTGCAACATGGGCAACAAATACTTTAATTATTTTTATGAAGCTCCTAGGAAACTGCATGTGT